TAACTGCTCTGTAGTTCGAATTGTCAGCATAAAACTAATATTCATCTGCTCTCATAGCCTTCTACCGCCCAACACATACATACATATTTTGACATAAAGAAGAAAATTCAATTTAAAAGCAAAGTGTACAATCATCTGTGTTTTACTCGTGGAAGAAAACCGTTATGCGATAATGTTTTCGCTTCCGCGAAAATCGACAAAGCGCACATGAAAACCTGCTCACCATGCATCAAGTGAAGCGAGTCACAAGTCAATGCCACAAAAAAAAAAAAAAAACAAAAAAAAAGAAACTAGTTTAGTTGCGACTACAAAGCTCACACAACCACTTCTGCAACAAGCTTCTTTGCTTCTTACTTTACTTTATTTTCTTTTAGAGTGTACGACAGCGAAGAAAACAAACCAGATGAAGAGATATTCAAAGTGTTATGCTAAACTACTGAATCTGGAGCTGGGGCGCGGTGGTGGCGCGCATCGAGGCTGCAGCAATTATGTAGTTCATCTAATTGAACGAATTCCAAATATATGGACGCAGCACATACATACACATTGGTATGAAAAGAATATTGACTTACCTGAACAGATAAAAATAGTTGTTTGACCGAATGTAAAGTGTAATGAATGAAGCTGCTGCTGGCAAGCTATCGCGCGCAACTAATTTCGCTCATTTCTAAACACCACTTGACATTGTGGACGGGCTATTTTGGCCACATAAAGATATTTCCTCTGTTCGCTTGCGACTAATTTGTACAAATTGTTAACAGAACGCGTTCGTTTGGGTGAAAAAATTCACCTTCAATTTGGGGGATAGCTCGTAAATTCTGCTTTTGCAGCTTTCTTCCCAATGCGTACGACTTTCAGTTCGCTCTAAACTTTGTAAGCTTCTTTTTTTAAGGGAGTGTGGGACCGAGCTTAAACTTTAATTTGCTTACTGTCTAATTCTTATTGGCTTTTTTTCATACGAACACACTTAATTAAATATGTATATTCATACATACATATATACATACGAAAGTGACTGGAAGTAATGGAGCCAACGCTTTTCAGAATAATATATAAAATTTGACAAATAACACAAATAGAAAAGAAAAAGAAAGTTATTTTTGATATCCGCTAGCAAAATGATCGTATTTATTACAAACATCTCTGCCAACCGCATTTTTAAATAAATTAAAATTAAATGAAATCGAATTCTTTTTACTCACGTCAACGGATGTGGCAATTTGAACTTTGAGGCAAAGTCTTAGATTGATTCAATATAATTGATCGATAAGAGGAATTTGTCAGAATATCTTCTTCTCCATTGGTGTAGGCATCACTTACGCAATTAAAGCCGAATTAACATTGGCTCGCCTCTAATTTCTTGTATTTGCTATTTGGCGCTATAAATACCAAGTAAAACGAGGTCACTCTGTCTCTAGTCGCTCTAAAGAAACGAAGGACTTTCTCTTCTCCACCTTTCGCCAACGAGTTTCACACCGAGTCTTTCAAAGCTAGTGTGTTCTCACGGAACTATTTTCATGTCGGCAAATATCTCATAAATCATAATCAGAAATCTTTCGCCTCATCCAATGTTTTCATCGTCCAAGTCTCTGCACCATATGCCAGCCAAGGAATGATGAGCGACTTGTAGAGTTTGGTTTCGTACCTTCCAATTACCATCTCAGGCCAAAGTAGCACGAGTGGGCAAGAGTGATTCTGCTTCGAATTTTGAGGTTATTTTTGGTGTTGGGGTTAGTTAAAAGTTAGATGAAATTTTCCATAACTTTACAGTTCTGACTGTAAACATGACTCCGTGTGATTGCTTGTTTGATTTCATCTTATCTTCGTTCACTTCCAGACCCCTTCGCCAGCTTATTTGTCTAATCTGAAGGGAACAGAACTTATTGTTTTCTCCAGCATTAAGAAGTTTCACGAAAGTTTGAACATCCGTTTGATATCGAGAGGCTTGGAAAGAGTGTTTTCAGTTCTAACAGCGCTGGACCGCCGGACCATAAGCTGCGTTTCTCACCCAGGATGCTAGATAAGAGTTCATATGCGATAGTGAAAAGGCTTATTTCGCTGTAATTGGCGCTGACTGTGAAACGTTTTCGTCCGTGCATATCCAAACAAACACAATGCATGCGCCTTGTCAGTCCTCGTTGGGCTCTCGCTAGTCTATTGGATGCCGACGCTTTGGTTTTCTTCAAATAGGTTAACGTTTGATATCATCAGATATTGATTCATTCACAGATTGGGTGTTCGTCTTCTCCGGATGTTGCTTTTCATTTCAATTAAGCAGGCTAAAGAAGTGTTCCTTCCATGTATTTAGTAATCTCTGAACATTGTCCACAATATCGTCATTCTCGTTCCTACATGATCATACTTCAGCCTTGAGACCTTCTGAAACTGGCTGCATATTTTCCAGCTTTTCGAGCTTCTACCTCTCACGCATTTCTCTCTCCTTCTTTTTTATCTTCCCTTTTCAAATCTCAAAATATTTCCCATATTTCTGGCGTTGCGAACGATTGGATGTTTATTTCAATGTAATCAGGAAGATATGGTCGCCACGGCTACACCAAACCGCAAAGTGGCTTTCTCTATAGCTTCACGAATTCCATCTTTGAGGTCTTCAATCGACGTTGACCTGTTGGTATGGACCTTATATTTCACGTGGCCCTAAAAAAAGAAATCGCAAGGTGTTAAATCAAAAGAGCTCTGAGCCCAATACTGATGAGCTCTTCTCGAGATTACATGGTCTGAAAACTTTTCCCTTAAAAGATTGATGATTTCGTTGCTTGTTTAGGTCGTAGCGTTGTTTTGTTGAAAGTAAAAGTTGTCAAGTTCAATACCATCCGATTTCTTTCATAAAAAGTCACTAATCATCAGGCCCATTTTCAAAATAGTAAAGCCTGATGACCCCGTCGGACCATAAACTGCACAAAACAGTTACACGTTGAGGATGGAGAGGTTTTCCACTCACTGAGGCGGAAATGGGATCAGTCAAGATGATCTTTCTATGAAATTCCGGATCATGCATTTCGTGGACCCAATCAGCAAAGAAGCAACGTTGTTAGGTATCCGCCGGCTTGAGTTCTTGTGTTAACTGAACCTTATATGCCTTAAAACCCAAGTCTTTATGCAAAATACTTTGATATTTTCGTTTGTTCAATACCCAAATCCAAAGAACGGCAAGGAATGGACAAACCTAGGTTTTCTTCAACTTTATCCTTTATAGACGTGCACGTGTTTTGCTCTTCACATCACTTACTTGTCCCAGTAGCTCCATTTTTTCCACCAATTTCTATACAGCGGTCCGAAAAGGTGCTTCCCGGCGACCGAAAAATGTTTTAGTCTTACGTACGGTCTCTGCTAGGTTCTCACCATTTTCAATTGTGAATGTTAATCAATTCAATGCTTTGTTGAAGGAAAGGAGAAGTAAAATAACGAGAAGGACCAACGATTATTCTAAGTTCTCTGGTTCCATTTTTATTACTGGCGTAGGTTTTACTCTTCAAATGGAAAAAACTAACAGCTTTAAAAGTAGCATCTGCCGGAGTTGCAGGATATTCAATATAACACCTCTTCTTGAAAACCCCTTTATATTGTCGAAAACCAAATTTTTTTTGGCTACGATCCGCAAGAAGTTTGAAATGTCGTCCAACACTGCCAATGCCGTCAGAGAGCAGTTGAGATAGCTTTGTAGTCCATGTTTTCGTTACCAATAAGATAGAGGCCAAAAGGGTGTTGCAAAACTTTTGTTTGGCGAACTGCTATCAGGTGTACAACTTTGCTTCCGCCGTTTTTTTCCAAAATTAAAAGTTTTATTGCGAAAAAGTGCTTACAGATATATTATTCAAAGTATTGTCCTTTGCTAGCGACAACTTTCTCCCATCTTTCCGGCAATTTTCGGATCCCGGCTCGAAAAAAGGAGTCCTCTTTTGACGCTATCCATGAAGCAATCCGTTTTTCCAATTCTTCGAAGGATTGAAAATGTTGATCTGCCAGGCCGTGTGCCATCGAACGAAATAGGTGGAAGTCAGAAGGGGCGACATCTGGGGAATACGGCGGGTGGTGCAAGACTTCCCATTTCAGCGTTTCCACGTACTTTTTGAGCACTTTTGCGATGTGAGGCAGAGCATTATCGTGTCGGAGGATGACTTTGTCATGACGCTCTTGATATTGTGACCGCTTTTCTTTTAGCGCGCGACTAAGGCGCATCAGTTGCGTTCGGTAGCGATCTCCTGTGATGGTTTCACCCGGTTTTAAGAGCTCGTAGTAAGTCTTTGAAGCTTTTTTATCTTCCACCACCATGTTTGTCTTCGACATCGAAATCATCATTGTACACCTGATCTTTCCATTCAAACGGCCAATGTCTACAAGGTAGTTATGACTAACAACAAAGCTCGTAACCTAGACCGTGGACCAACTTTTATAAGATTATATTTATTATGTGCTTTTTATATGTCAGAGAAAGCAATGAGGATGCTCGAAAAGATGTTTCTCCTACCGTAACAGTTTAAGAAATGCCGAAATATTTTTCAATTGAGTATTTAAATTATTATTTCAACGGATCAGAAATAAGGTTTTGTTTTCATAAACCATTATAAATAACTTATATAACTTTCACTCTTCAATACTGCGCAGACAATAGTAAAAATGCGGCTATAAACATAAGCAAAATTATTCATATGTAAATAACCGTGGTGTGGCACAGTAGCTCACGACCGCTGAGTCGAAACCGAACCAATTGTTGCTGTCAATAGGCATTAATGAAGGCATGTATGTATGTTTGTTTGTACACTTACGCAGCGAACCCTATCCAAGCCGACGACTAGCCAACAAGAGATGCCACAAACCCAACAAACATCGGGCGAAAAGAAATGCAACAAACGAGTAGAATAGAAAGAGCCAACGAAAACCAGTTTTCGGTCAGTGTCTGCAGGCCAAAGCCACAGACCGATTCAGTCGCTGGAACTATGCTAAGCGCAAGCACAACAATTAAGCTTAGTTTTAAATGTGATTTCAACGCGCTTGCGTCTGACCAACACAGCGGAATTGCTAGACGCTCAAAAGGACTTAACGGTATATGTGAACGAAAAAATATCAAAAGAAGTGAAAAGTGGTATACAGATGTTTTTGAGTACTAAATAAATGATGACATTGAATTTTCCGAATTTGAATAATACCGTAAAAGTGAGGTTAAGTTATATACCCGAGTGGCTTAAGTAAAAGAAGTGCCAATAAAGTTATAAATAATTTAAAAATTATTGTATGTGCGCAATGCATTTTTGAGAAAATCAGTATTGATCGCGCGTGTTTGATTAACAAAAAATTTAAATCGTAGACACAAAAAAGAAAATTTCTATAAACCGAAGCCGAGACATTCCATAAAATGGCAAAACTCACATTCCACTTAGCTGTGACTGCTTTGCTATGCACCTTTGTGCATGGCACAAATGAAGTAACAAAGTCGCCAGAAACAGAACTCGCAGCCACGTTGTCACCAACATCCGTAGAAACTCCCGCGGCTCAGCAGCCTGCCAACAACACACGTTACTCGAGGCTAATGAAAATCCTGCAGGATCCCAAGACTTTGACAGCCAAACATTACCGCGCTGCAGCACAGCGCGTAATGGCGCGTGCTGACAATTTGCCCGCTTCAGGCATGCCATACCGACGACCGCCACCGCATGCGTTAGTGCCGAGCCAACAAAAAGTGCGTCCACCTCTAATGCGTCGCATACAAGACGGTTCGCCACCGCGTTTTAATTACGAAGCGCCGAAGGTTCCTCTCAGTCATCTACCTTCGAAGGGTCCGGTCGCCTTTAATGCCGGTAAAGTGACAGTCTATCGGCCACCGTTTCCGTTTGCGCAACCACAGTCGCAAGTGCATCCAAACATTTTGATACCACAATCTACGGCCGTGGCTCAATCACCGAAACATAAGCCGTCACAATATCAAGAAGAGTATAATTTTAGAGCGTCACCTTCTTTCAATGGCAAGGCAATTGTACGTCCTCTGGTGGAGCCACATGACCCAAACTACAGACAACATATGAAAGAGTTACAGCAATATTCCGGTAAAGTGCAGCACACAATACAACAGTATCCCATACCACAACAACAGCAATTACAAAGTCATCAACATCAACATCAGCACTTTCCGAATTTGCACCAGAGTAAACAGGAATCGCATAACAGACCACCGACTTTTCATTATGAAATGCAACGGCCATACGAGGAGCCCGTACTACATCCACATGTCAAACACAACCAACCACTACCAAATAGAGCCGGTTATGCCGTCTATGAAAACAATGAGCTGTCCGAAGAAGAGCCACCGTACAGCCAACCACATGCACACTATCCTCCAACGCCAAGAGTGGAAGAACTTTCCCAATATCAAAGCCTTCGCCAGCAAGCACAACAAACCGATTCCGAGGCTGCAGCAGCGCAGGAAGCAGAAGAATATATAAAATTCATGAACTCAAATGATTATTTCCTGCCTAAGCATGAGCCTAACTACAAACAGCTTGATAAACAGCAAACTCAGCACCAGCAACCACGCGAACAGTTGCAGCAACCATCGCATGCTCTTTACCCTCAAGCTGAAAAGTATACTCATCCCGCACAGTACAGCAAACCATCAACAGCTAATGGTGCTGCTGCCTCTGGTACCGCCTCCGCTGCGTCTACCAATTACCTAAACCAACCAATACAGGTATCACAGCTATTTTATCAAGAAGATCCCGTGCCAGCTATTGTACGTGGCAGCTATCAAACAGGCAGTAACTTATTTGTCGTTAACTCAGATGGCAATAAAGCTGTAAAGCATGTGGTGCCACCACCATCAACTAGAGCGCCCACGACATTAGCACCAGCTTATTCAAAAGTACGATACAACACGCTGCGCAATCGGACACCCGAGCCACTACGCTTCGAGTTTACCGAGCATGATGCGGTTCACTCGGCATACACTAATTCACCGCCACCTTCTTTTGGAGACGATAGTGACCAATTTCTCTATAGAACTGCGTCGGCAGCTGTTGGTTCTACTTCCACTACGCCAGATTTCCGAACATCAATTACCAATAAATATGTTACCGTTACACCATCCAGTGCGGATGATCCAGAGGACGACGAGGATGTTCAAATTGCCAGCTCGGTAAGTACTCAAAGTCCCAGTGACTTTCTGCACAATCAATTGACAATTTATATTTCAATGCGAAACTAAGGACTTCTACGGACGTGTGCAATTGCGCCAACCAACCTCGAGTAACGTCTCTTCGGTGCCAACACCACCAGCTCCAGTAGAGCAGAAAGATACCGAAGATTATTGCGAACGAATTTGTGCCAATATTCAAGACGATGATGAGGAAATTGTCTGCGGCTCTGATGGTTACATGTACACCAGCGAATCTCAAATGGAATGTTATGCTACATGTCTGCACATCGGTAAGTACAAATGGCAACCGCCACAAAGACGTGCGAAAATAATTCCTTCCTGTGTGCCTTACATCTACGTTGTGAAGCAGACGATGCTCCATCATCCAATCGGAGGTAGCTTACAATAAACTGTAGATCTCTCCATATGTTGGGAGACCCACGCCAGAAATTGAAAGACGAGCTCGGCCGAAAATGCTTCGGCGCAAATTATATATGTTTATAATTACTGCTGACCGCAATAGCCGAGGGGTTAGTGTTGAGTACTGCCATTCTGAAGTCCTAGGTTCGAGTCATGGTTCGACAATCATCCAAAATTATGGAAAATTAATTTTTCTAATTGCAATCGCTCCTCGGCAGGGAATGTCAAGCTCCGAGTGTATTTCTGACATGAAGTAAACGCTTCTTATAATATTCCATCGGCCGTTCGGAGGCGGCTCTGAAAAATTGTAGGTCTCTATCTATTTGTTAGAAAACATCAAGACACTTACCACAAATTACTGAAGATTTATATAGCCGATTATTGGCGAGTTAGCAACATGCGCGCCAGCCGTCGTTTTGAGCTAAAAGCAGATACGAAGCCTGGTCCTTCTATTCGACGTTGCCGCGAAAACTCCTAGTACCAACTTACTGGATGTTGTAATCGTCCATGATTCCTTACCATTTAGCAGGACGGGAATGATGAGTGATTTGTAGTCGATATTGCCTACTTGGGAACCCCGTCGCAAATGTGTTGACTGTTTATTTCATTGTAGAAGGTGTCTCACACAGTTTGCTCAAAGGATTTTAAATTAGATATTGAAAATATTCGTCTAGTTAATTGTCGCAGGGTTACCCTTTTTGTGGCAATGGAAAATGGAATGAGTCGCTCTTTTTGTACCATAGCTAGGGGGTTTCAGGTGGCCGCGGTGGTCGAGTGGTTAGTATTGCGACAGGCTTGTGTTCAAATCCTGGTGTCGTACTAACATCAAAAAAAATTATACATTGCACTCCATCGTTTATGTCGGTATGTAAACGCTGAATAACTTTCCCAGCTACCAACCGAGCGATTGCATCAGATATGTTTTGGAAGCGTCAGTTCAGTACAGTTTTTGGCATGGATCACTTCACACCGAAACAACGCGCTGAAATAGTGATACTTCACATCGAAAACAGTCGTAACATTTTGTTTAATCAACATGCATATCGGAAAAAATTTCGCGGCAAAAAGACACCATCTGACAATACTATTCGTTGAGACAGTAGGATATCGTCAACATGCCGTTCATCAAAGACCAAGACATTCCAATGAATTGGTTGAAGCAGTGGGAGAGTGTTGCTCAAGACTCAACAGGGTCGTAACGCCTCCGCGTTTTGCGCAAAGAACCATCATTAGACCATTTAAAGAAAAAGAAACTGTCGATGGATATCGATATGGGTGGATGTTGGCTCATAATGTTTTCAACAAGACGGTGCCCCATGCCACACTGCAAACGCAACAATTGCATTTCATTTTCGAAAATTCCAGGGACGTAGAAAACTAATAGGCGGTTACAAAGCGCCATTATATATGTACGAGGTGTGTTCAAAAAATACGAAGTACTTCAAAAACTCATTTTTTTATCTTGTTCAGCTCCTCCTTCGATGTGGTCTTAACTCGTCAATCATAGCGTAACGTCGTCCTTTCATGGGCCTCTTCAGTTTAGGGAACAAGAAAGAGTCACAGGGGGCCAGACCTGGGGAATACGGTGGCTGCGGTATCATTAGTGTGTTGTTTTTGGCCAAAAGGCGCGCACAAGCAACGATGTGTGAGCAAGGGCGTTATCGTGGTGCAAAAGTCAATTTTTGTTCTTCCACAAATCCGAGCGTTTCTGGCGAATTGCTTCGAGCGAATTGCGTATAACTTGCAGGTAATATTCCTTGTTGACCGTTCTACCCTGTGGCAAGAACTCATGATGCACCACGTAACTGCAATTAATTTTTTCATCTGTTGTTAAAGTGCACGGGCGTCCGGCACGCTCTTCGTCGTTCACATCTTTTCGGCCTTCTGAGAACATTTTGTACTACCGATAAACGTTGCTTCGGTTCATGGTAGCTTCTCCATATGCCACAGTCAACATTCGGAATGCATCCGCGCACTTAATTTCGTTGTTCCCACAAAATTTGATACAGGTTCTTTGATCCATTTTTTTAATAGGTAAAAATCAAAGACCATCCAAAACACGTACAAGCAAAGCAGCTGTCAACAATTAAGTGAACATTCAAAATGGCCGAGCTTGTCGGCATAAGTGACAGACATGAGTACCAACATAACGCCACAAAAAATCGAAATTCGATTATACGTAACCCGTGTAAATTCAAAAATCGCAATACTTTTTGAACACACCTCGTATAAAGGGTGATTTTTTAAATAGCAAAACATAGTCGGCCCTCTTCTCTCTACTCACCTACTCTCGCGTCATTATACCTGAATTACTCGGATTTTTATCTGTCCAAGGACTGTCACTCTGGAAATATTCTCCAAAAACCATTTCAATTATCACTATTAAGTCACCAAATTATTCTCCTAGTGCTACTATGCATTATTGGGCCATAAGGGAATATTTTGGAACAAAACAGCCATTTTGCATTATTTAGCGTCAATTTTTTATCTAATATTTATTATTTTTTTTTATTTTTTTATTTTTCTTTTTCTTGTATTTCAGATGTGACTGTACAGAGCAAAGGATCTTGCAACATCAGGTAGAAGGATTTGATTTATTTAAAATTTCGCCAATACCGTGAAATACATTTCTAAGGCAAACAAACTGACATTTAGTGAAATTCTAATTTATTATGCACATATATATGTATGTTCTAGTATTCCTAATTTAAATAAATAATAATTAAAATATAAGCTTTTATTTTCTATTTTAATTCGTTTGTAAATTGATTTTAATAAAAATGTACAAATTATGAACATTGTATACTTATGTTAAACGTATAGTGTTTAATCGTGCGCTTAAACAGGACACCACCCTAATTTTGTGTGCGCACCCTAACGAGCCTTCATCAGCGCATGCAGCTATATACGCCTTGCTTGTCAAGCAATAGATGAGATTTTCTAATCAACTGTCATCAAGGGCGCACCGGGGTGAAAAATAATAAAAACCATAATAATAATTATATATATAATAATTGTATACATATACAAATAGCGGACATTGTATAAAAAATATATTTTGTCATCATACAATAAATAAGATTTGTTTAAAAAATTAAATAAACAATTGTATAATTATACTCGAAACGCGAGTGGTTTTATTTCGAATGGCTTATGAAAGGGGCCTTCGCGTAAATATATAGCATAACTTATTTTAATTTGCCTAGAGATTATTTAGTGCGCCTTCTCTAGTAACTCTCCTTACAAGTTTTCCTTTGTGTCCAGCAATAATCGTTTTAGTACTATTTTCAAATTGGGACTTTTGTATTGCATTGCGCGACCAAAGAACGTATATTCAAAGAACGTATATTAATACACGTTCTTTGGCTTTGTGCTCTCAAATTTGGCTTTGTGCTCTCAACTTTGGCTTTGTGGTCTCAACTTCCCTGCCTTTTGTCGGTATTCTAATGAATGATTCGGCAAGTGCCTTTAGAGCAATGGACTTTTTACCACCCTACTGCCAGTCGCATAATAGCGTAGGGTTAAAAGCAAAATTTCTGCTGCTTTATTCCTGCAAAAACAAATAAATTATCAACAATATACTCAAAGCAAATTATTTTCTCAAACTTTTCAGTGACGTAGTCAGATAGTCAGTGCTTTCCACACTTTCCTTTATTAAATTTACTTTTAAGTTAACAACCAAAACATTTGTATTTATTATGTTACTATTTGCTGTCAATACCTTCCGATTAAGTTATGACTATATTCCTAACCGGAGATGGTGAGAGCAACCCTTAGGTGAAGGCTTTTTTCATTCGTACTGTAATAGCTCAAGGGCGCCATCTGTGAAATGAGTAAGATAAAATGTTATAGCAACAGTGCAAATTGACGTTTATCATTGACATTTAACTTCTGCAGCTTTGTGTAAAAATAGTCGGTTCCTCGTTCATTTTTGGTTTTTTGCAATTTAAGGGTAAATTTTGGAAATTGCAAAATATGACGACTTATCTTACCGACAGTGATGGTAAGTTTATTCCAGCGACGCAGAGACCCGATGGCACTTGGCGCAAAGCACGTCGCGTTAAAGATGGATATGTGCCACAGGAAGAGGTGCCCTTGTACGAAAGCAAAGGTAAGCAATTTGCCCAACGTAAAAGCACCCTACCGCCTGGTATGTGTCCACTAGTAGTCCAACAGGCAAAAAAAGATCGAGAGAAACAAGAACGGGCTAAAGCTAAAAAGATGGCAAAACAGCAGGAAAACGATATAGCTTCAAAATCGGGTAATGCCGGTATTGCTAATAATAAGAAAGCGAAGCAACCTCAACCACAAACGCAACAAACACCCGGTCTACTTCTTCTTCCTAACAGTGGAAACTCAAATGCTGCAGTGCAAAAACCCAATACTAACGCAACTAAAACAACATCGAGTACAAATAGTAATGATGCTGTTGTAAAACTCGCCAATGACTTGCAGGCCACCTTACAATTACAAACGGATGAAGGGCAGGATATTTCCAAGAAACTGAAAAAGCTCCGCAAAAAATTAAGAGAAATTGAAACTATAGAACAGCGTATCAAGAGTGGAGAACTGAAAAAGCCTGAAAAAGATCAGTTAGATAAGGTGAAGCGAAAAAAAGAAGTTATAAAAGAGATCAAACAACTTGAAGATGAGGAAGAGGCTTTGGGCAATATCAAAGACAAAGATTAAACTAAATGCGCACATCAAACAAAACCGAGTGCCATGAAATAGTTAAAGCGACGAAATGTACTGCTGTACGACACCACCCACTGAATGTCTGCCCTGCGGGACGACTAACCTCAGCTAATAGTATATAATTAATTATTTTATTCTTAATATTTGAAGTTCTTAAAATGCGGTTTTAACATCTTAAAACTAAATAGCGCAACATATCCATCGGTTTTTGTTGGCATACGTTCAGGCGCATAATTTTTGTTTTAAAATATTTTAACAATTTATCCTTGTGAATGTTTTCTTCATGCATGGTTTTAAATAAATTTTAAGATTTTATTGCGCATTTTATTGTATTATGCCAAGCGTTATATTTTAACAAGTTGTTTAAAATCTGTATATCTTGTTTTCAAAGATAATTGGTCGGTTTGGAGACAAAAAGTGCAAAATTTTAAACCGGTCAATCTATATTAAGTTGTTAGCCGTAGTCATGTAACAAAAATCATATTTTATTTTACAATCAAATATTTGTATAATAAATAAGACAAGTGTACAACTGCCTAAAACTTGCGCATTCTGTTTTCATACAAAGACATAATAGCAATAAAGTAATAAATCAAAAAAAAACTAAAATATTGATGAATGCTCGATAGTAAAATAAGAAGGTAAATTTGATATATTTTAACGATTGCAAAGCATTTAAAAAATGTCCGAACTAATAAAAAAAAAATAAAATCATACGTAAAAATAAGTGAGAGTTGCTCTATAGAAGACGATAAATCAAATTGTATAAATTAGCAGAGTTACATTTATATTTATTTGTAAAATAGTTTTAAATGCTTACGAATATACTTCAAAATAAGTAAAAAAAAAAGATCTAACAATATGTATGTTTACTTTTTAAATATAGTTTTACAATTTTATGTGAGGTCTATAGTAGAATATCTTGTAATAAGTATTTAAAAATAACATATATATATATATATATGTACATATAAACTATATATATCGTTTGTAGCGGTGAAATCAATATTGAATACAAAGTTGTGAATCATATAAACTCCAGCGACGCTAAGAATCTTATAAATGTTTGACACTGAATAAAAAAGAAATAATAAAATATCAATCCAGTACGTTGTTTGTTGGACAAAGTTGTGGTGAAAGAGTTTCAGGAAATTACTAATATTGTAGTAGCTCTTTGATTTGCGCTAATTGGTTTTATCTATCGACACAAGCGATGTTTTTCATACCTAATTAATAGACTAAAGTTACCTGTAGGCCTAAACGGGGTTAGGTCGCCGAAAGGGTGACAGCCCTTGGCCGGATAAAATCCGGGTCAACTCCGGTGCGTAGAATCGGCTGTCGTGAGAGTCGGCGACTTGGACTGATCAAACCTGTGCCTAAGCGGGGTTAACGAACCGCTACAACAACAACAACAGCATACCTACGTAATATATAATATGAAAATAATATCTTTGAACTGCACAAATTTTCGAATAATTTACAATATATTCAAGACGAACACCACAAATGAGTGGAGGAGCTCGGCTGAAAACCTTTTCATAAACATATATACCAAGACAGTTCGAGCGCATTGCCGTTTTTGGTTAAAGCCATTGTATATCTGGTTGCCTTGGGGTTAAGTGCAGTTTTGGTGTTGTGTTCTTTATAAAAGCCATGGTGATGTGCTGCTGGCCTTAGGTGAGGAGAGGAGAGGTATCGGCCGATATGACAATTCTTTGCTCCGCTGTTTCTAGATGTTTTGGCATCAGCATGCTTATTCCGCCGGTTCCGATGGATTTTGGATAACCCTCTGACAGGTCCATACCTAAGTTTTGACAGTGTCACGCAGTTCTATCGAAGCAGCTCTAGTTCTTCGTCTGCAAGAGGTGGTGCTTTTACTCCGAGTACGCCATTCACGGGAAGGGAGTCTTTCAAGATGTTGACTGACTCCTGGTAAATCACGTTCAGTACTTCTCTGTACGCCGTCCGGTCCAGCGGGGTTTGTTTGTGTTGCTGGATGGTGTCATTCATGTCAAATACTCCCTTTCTGATGTACCTCGGTGGAGGTTCAGCTTCAATAAGGCGCCTATTGCTACCCTACGGTAGCATCCCAATAGCAATTGCTTCCACAGCAAATCATTATACTCCTTAACTCGTAGCGTAGATGCTTCATGTGAAAGTGATGCTCCGGCGCAATCAGGAGATATCCTGTCGAGGTCTTGAGGGCGGTGTTTTGGCAAGCCTGTAGCTTCTTCATCTGCGTCTCGTTCGTCCCCGGCGCCCAGATCGGTGCAGCTTAGTTTACAATCGGCCGGCCAATTACTTTGTAAGTTGCCAGTAAAGTTTCTTTGCTTTACCCCATGTAATACCGTCTAGAACTTTGAGTATTTTATTGCGGCCATTGCGGTCGTATGCGGAATACAGGCTGTCCAGTGTCACTCCCAATATCTTTGGGTTGTTTACGGTCGGAATTTTCACGTCATCTACCTTCACGTCTGGTTCAAGCCTGTATTCCTTCGTCCAGCTGGTGAATAACCGAGAATTTGATCGGCTGTATTTTCATATGTCGTGCAGTAAAGAAGTGAGAAAGATCGGCAAAGTAACAGTTTACTTTCGAACAGAGGTCATCAATATCATAGTGAAATTCTCACGCAGGGTCAGTTTTGGTTAAAGCGATTGACTATCTCGGTGTTAATGGCGTAAAGTGCTGTTGTGGCACTGTGTACTTTGCGGAGTGGTGAGTGAATATCGGGAGCTGTAAGGCCTCAAGTGTCTCCTACTAGGGAGAGAACTGATAAGAGGGCCGATAAGAGTCTTCTTGTTGGCTGGTTTTACTCATTCATCGCGTCACGTCGGGTTAGAAAAGGTAAAATGAACGTGTAGCCCAGAGCTTGATTGTCCCAGAGGAGAGATTGCACGATCTTAAGTGCTCCTCCCACTGTTTCCGCTTGTGATTATTAACTACTCGCCGAATCTCCAGATTTAAATCCTTGATTAGCGGATGTCGGTCCTCGATGCTAAAACCGCCATTTCCGTCGGGAAATTAAAGCGGCGTTGTGGGTAAATTCTGTAAAACGGGACCAGTTAGCTTTTTAAAAGTTAACAAATGTCCGGTGGTCCGCGGAAACAAAGTCGGGAGAAATGTCAATCGTGATATGAGTGGGTAAGTGCAACATTGCTGGTGTCAGTATAGGCCGCCAGGCGGTGGAGAATATTGACATCGCTGACAGGATACCTCTACAGTCGATGTCGCTGCTAATAAGACGATACTTGGCGGTTTTGTGGAAAATAAACACTAAACCTCCACCATGGTCTCGATAGCCATCATTGCAAACGAGCTTACCTTGAAGGCTTGAGCCGCGTTTGAACGCTGATCCGTTTAATTAACAACATTCCCCGACAACCGGTTCCAAGCGCCTAAAGGTTCTCAGCACCGTCAAGCGCTTACTCGTCAAATTTCGAAATGGTTCACGGGTACAAGCCCCATACAGCAAAAAATAGTTAGCTCGGATTTTGCGGCAAGATTGGCACTGGGTTGGATTTTTAAGTTGACATTGTTATTGGAGTTGATGGTGGTTTCTATTTCCTATTTAGCTCTGCAGTTCGTATTATTTCCTCCTGCAATAAGAAAAAAGTTCAGTTTTTGAGATATTTGTCAGAACCTGCCAGATCGGACCACTATAAATTATGTCCGAAGAATTTTAAGTATTCAGATTTTGAGTCATAAATTCGTGGGAACGGTCCTTTGTACCATATAGTCTCCTTGGTGGTTGGTTATAGGGAAAAACCCCGTACCCCAGTTTCACTCACTCACTCAGCACATCTACGTAGGCCTTTGGAGATAGAGTTTAGCCATCCATCTATCGAGAAATGAACGGTTAGATTCTCGGTTGTTCGATAAGAGACAGCCAAGTAGCTTGATGAATTATATTATGTTGGAACCAATCAACCCCAACCCATTTGAAATGTTTCGCCATGCGGTCTGAGTTTTCAGAAGTCACCTTTTAATCTCACTTTAGCCTTAAAGTGGTTATATAAAAAATGACATTCATTGTAACATCGTTCTTTTTTCGGTAATAGATTTATCTGGTGAATTGTGCGGACAACGTGCCAAGTCTTTGAAATTGTTCCTGGTCTTATGATCTACTTGGTGATCCATTCAACGCTTATGTTGAAATAGTAACTATGTGTCAAAAAGTTGTAGGCATTAGATCAAATTTATATTGTCTTATGATCCAAAAGACATGATCGATCCCATGAAGCCACTGCCCTACAACGTGTCGGTTGTGGAGCCAATAGGGGAGAATTCGACAAGACTCCAAAGACAAAATAAACAGCTGGTACGATGAGGACTGACATGTCGCACTGGAGAGAAAGCAGGTTTCCTACCTCGCAACATTGCGAACGACCACTACATGTGCAAAACGCATTTGCTGACAAAAACTGAAAGAGGCCGGGATGCGTGAGTATGAAGAGGAAGGTATCTATTCCGGGCCAAACTTTTGTAGACCGCGAAAAAGTGATATAGAAATTGATGCCCAGAGTATACTGAATTTATGGAGGAAATACTTCTCCAGCCTTATGAATGGCATTGAAAGTGTAACACCAGGAGATGGCCAACCCGATTATCCAATCGATGACGATGGAACAATTGTATCATTGCCCGTCTATGAAGAAGTTCGAATAGCAATCGCCCGGGCCGATGGCTTACCGGCCGAGCTATGCAAATACTGCGGTGAAGAACTGATTAGGTGCATGCATCGGCTTCTTTGCAAAATATGTTCGAATGAAAGCATGTCCGACGATTGGAACCTAAGTGTGATCTGCCAAATCCACAAAAAAAGCAAACCCACGGTCTGGGCCAATTATCGTGGAATATGCCTTCCTAACATCGCATATAAGGTTTTATCAAGCGTATTGTGTGAAAAGCTAAAGCCCACCGTCAATAATCTAATTGCGCCTTATCATTGAGGCTTTAGACCTGGTAAATCATAGATTGACAAGATATGCGACAAATTTTAGAAAAGACCCGTGAAAAGAGAATCGACACACACCACAACAGCAAAAGCTCCGCCAGGATCGATACCAAACGAGGATAGATAAAAATCCAATGCAGAGGAAGTGATGAGACTCATTTGGAAAAGGACTTGGTTGTATTGGATGGCCACAAAAGAACCATTGTGGAGTCCATAAAACATCATTTTCGCCATATTTAAATAATAAAGTAAAATATGTCGAAAATGTTCTTTTTTTGCGAGCGGCCGTTGTAGCCAAGTGGTTAGCGTTGCGTAGTGACGTTCGGAAGACCCGGGTTCATATCCCGGTGCCAGCAACATCCAAAAGTTATGAAAAAGCTGGGAATGTCCACCGCTTCGAGTGTATTTCGGACATGAAATAAAGGCTCCTCATAAAAAACCATTAGCCGTTCGGAGGCGGCTTAGTATAAACTATAGGTATTTGTAGTATATAACTGTAGCTCCCTCCATTTGTTGGAAAAACATCGGCAGCTCCGCTGAAAAATCGCTTCAGCGGTTATATTTCTTTAAACAAGAAAAAATTAAGCGCAGGTTGTTAAAAAGTTGCTTAATTTGTGTGGTGATAAGACCTTGAAAGAAACACAGTGTCGAAGTTGGTTTGTCAAATTCCATTCCGGAGATTTCTCCCGCAAAGATAAGTCACGTTCAGGTCAACCAAGTGGAGTTGTTGATGACGATATCAAGTCTTCAATGGGATCGTCATGTAACTGTGCGTGAGATTGTAGAAAAGTTAACTATGCCAAAATCAGCCATTCAGAATCATATTATATACGACGTCTTGGACTAATAAAAAACTTGATACTTGGGTATCACATGAATTGAAAGAAATTCTTTTATAAAGTCACTTCAACGCTTGAAACTCGCATCTTAAACACAATGAATTGATCCGTTTTTGAAACAAATCTTAACTGAAGATGGAAAATTGATTGTCTACAATAATGTCAATCGAAAACAATCGTGGTCCAAGCGTGATGAAGCGCCACAAACCACTGCAAAGGCTGATATTCACCAAAAGCAGATTATACCGTCAGTCCGCTAGGAATGAAAGGGTGTGATATAATTTGAGCTGCTTCCAAGGAACCAAACGATTAATTCGGATGTCTACTGTGAACAACTCGACAAATTTTTAATGAAGTAGAAGTTAAACATGCCTAAATGAACTAGTATTAAACTAGTACGAAGCTGATGCATAGTAGGACAATTATCAGCGTGTTATAAATACCAGTTGCTTACATGGAAGATGGATGAAGATGAACTAGTTCGTGTAGAAAGGTTAACTAGTTGGATTCTAGTTGACAATTAGCATTTTCCCCTGCAGGGTATTTATACGGTTCTTTTAGTCGAAGTCAAAATGTATAAATGAAATAAATGAAAATCTGCAAATGTTTTTCACTTTGCATTTATTAATATTTCAAAAACGCAATTATTATTGTACATGCATATGTATGTAGATATTTACATCTATGTGTATATATTCAAGCTCTTCGCATTAGAGAGCACTTTTTGTGATTTCAAACATAATTATTTATCATAATAATAATTTAATACATTTTTAACACCTGTATGTATGTATGTATGTATGTATGTAAGTGTGAATGGCTTTTGGTAGCAACTAGAATAAATATTTTGTATGCGAATGAGATTTTGTACATTTCTTTTATTTACTTTTCCTTTTCATTTTCCACTGTTATATATAATTTAAATATTTTATACACAACTATGCTTCGACCTATTTCGGGTGTTATGATTACAAAAAAAAAAAAAAAAATTACTCTACACAAACACCGCTTCATGTGCAAATGTGTGCATGTATGTGTGTGATAGATAATTTTTCCTTCATTCCTATCGATATTCTAATACTAAAAGAGCAATGGCATAATGCTTCGTCTTATTCAATCGTAATTGACATGTTTTCAACTGTTGCTTTTATTAGAAGCTGTTCCACATACTATATGTATGTACTCGTGTATTTCGCTGGATTTAAAAGACAATAAATACTATTTTGTTTGTTACTCCATTAGTGTTTTATGCATGTTCGTATTATGTACGTATATTGTATAACGGTACTATGAATGAATTAACTTTTATATAAATTACAATTTGATAAGAATACTTTTTGTACGTCTCTCCCACCCAGTTAAGGGTATATATATGTATGTATGTATATTACTATTTATCATAAATAACAACTACCAACACGCATTGTACACAAATAAGCGGGCTTATGTACGAACATACGTATGTATATAGCATAAATATTAAGTAGCTTTGGCCGATATGAATTTTTAATTTGGTATTTTCGAAAGATTTTTGTAAATTCAAATTCAATCATCTAAATAGCGGGCGTTCCGTTTGCGTCCCATGTTGCAGATTTTGAAATGGCACGGTGACATATCTGCAAGTAATGAATAACAAATGTAAATATTTATGTAATTCGTTGAAATTCATAAAAAAAAATACGCAGAAGTATTTATCTTACATTGCTTGTGTACTGCAGGTGAGACATACATACATATGTATATGATTTATATAATATGTATTTGTATATTCAATCCATATTGGTGAGAGAACATCGAAAAGTAGCAACAACGCCATAAAGTGTACCAAAAAAAAAAAAAATATGCGTTGAGAATTGAGATCATGTTAACAAACTATGTACATACATATGTATGTATATAATAAATACATACATCTTGAAATTATTTACTTACATTGTATATTCTTTTTAATGCCATGATCTTTGAATGCAACGGGTCCCGATTGAGGCTTCTTCCTAAATGGCATAACCGGCTGAATAACAGCGGGGTTATCAGCACGTACGTCGCCTACACCTATGCCGTCCACTGAGTTCGTAGCTAGCTGTTGTAGATGGTCAACTAGACGTGTATTGGATGTCTCGTAACTGTCGTCCGTATCACCAGAATCGGCATGTTCTTCTCCGTAATCAAACGTTGGTAAGATGTCACGTAAGCCGGCCCACTTACTGAGATATGTTGGTTGCTGGTGTTGGTATTTTTTCTAAAACAAAAAATTAGAAATATAAATAAACATTTAACCGTTTATTAACGACACCATGGTCTGGCCAGACCTTTTTCGTTTTTGGAAAACAAATTTAACATATTTAAAATTTAGATAGCGAATTGTGCTCCTAGGTACCCTCCTAAAATTTTATTGGCTATCGATCTATGCATTAAAAACATATACCTGACCTTTTAAAAAAGGACAAAAAATGGATTTTAAAAAATACATCTTCGGTCCGACGCCTGGTCTTGCCAAACTTCTGTATATTTTGTATGGAAACATATGAACATATGTATGACTTTGATAAGCATAATATTATGCGATTCAGACCTTGTCCAAAACTTTCAACATCGGTTCCGATTGAGGTATTCAAAAGTTTTTTTGCACCGAATATTTCATTCATTATTATTGATGAGTGCATTAGTTCGTGCCCGATTCCGCTGGATGCAGTTTGAATCGTTTGAGAGTGGCGCTCGTGAAAGAAATATATATATTTTATATATCGTTGGAAAGGTGACAGTCCGAACTGTAAGTCAAGCATAAAACAACTTCATTTTGATTTGAGTTGCTTAGTGAAAAGACGAATGGAAGATGGACAACGAAAAAGATCATTATCGTCATATTATGTTATACGAATTCCGCAAAGGAAAAACAGTAGGCGCTGCAACTAAAGATATTCGCGAAGTTTATTTGGACTGTGCTCCAGCACTCCGCACAGTAAAGAAATGGTTCGCAAAATTTTGTTCTGGAGATTTTAACCTCGAATATCAACCTTGCGGTGGACGGCCTTCTGAGCTTGATGACGATGTTCTAAGGACTTTAGTTGCGAATAACTCACGTATTTCGAAGGAAGAGGTTGCCAGTGAATTGAACGTCATCAAATCAACTGCGTTTCGTCGTTTAAAAAAGGTTGGGTACACTTTGAAGCTCGATACATGGGTGCCACATCAGTTGAGTGAAAAAAACAAAGTGGACCGTATGTCAACAGCAATTTCTTTGCTTCGACGGATCAAAAACGAACCTTTTTTGGATCGGCTCGTAACTCGTGCTGAAAAATGGATCCTTTACAACAATGTTCAACGCAAAAGAACATGGAAACAGGCACACGAAGGGGCGGGTCCGATGTCGAAAGGTGGATTGCATCCGATGAAGGTACTGCTGTGCATTTGGTGCAAAAGAGTTTTTTTCCATCATGACAACGCCAGGCCACATGTTGCAAAACCGACCCTGGCCAAACTGAAGGAGATGAATTGGGAAATTATGCCGCATCCCCCATATTCACCCGACATTGCACCTTCTGATTATCATTTGTTTCGATCACTGCAGAACAATTTGAATGGAAAAAAATTTAAAAATGTGGAAGACGTCGAAAACCACCTTGACACCTTTTTCAACGTGAAACCGCACGATTTCTATAAATCAGGCATCGGTAAATTGGTTGAACGTTAGGAGTGGATTGCTGAACATGATGGCGACTTTCTTCAAAAAATTTCAATTTTAGTTTGCACTTGAAATCGGGCACGAACTTATGCACTCATCTAATATTACCGAAACAAATCGAAATGCAAAAATTGCTACTCAAAAATGGAATGAAGAAAATCCAGATTCAAAGCCAAGAGTTGGGTTGTTTCCATATCGTGGTAAAACTAAATTCACCCATTTTATTCCATCAAAACCAGCTAAATATGGAATAAAAGTTTGGTGGGCAAGCGATTCAAAAACAAAATATCCATTGCAAGGTAAATTATACACAGGCACAGAAGGAAACGAGCGTGAGGTGAATCAAGACGAAAATGTTTTGATACAATTGTCGAAAAATTACAGTCACAGTGGACGAACGATTGTTGCTGATAATTTTTTTACTACATTGAATGAAGCTAAACGGCTGGCCAATATAAGTCTCGCATTTGTCGGTACAGTTCGAGCCAACAAAGCATTTTTACCGCCTGAAATGAAGAAAAATCCACAGCGTCCATTACTCTCATCTTTGTTTGGTTTTCATGAAAATTTGGTATCGCTTTGCAGTTACGTGCCAAAAAAACAAAGCCGTAAATGTGATTTCAACCATCCATTATACAACAAATGTCGGAGGCGAGGCGAAAAAACCAGAAGCAATTCTGTATTATAATAATATCAACAAAACTGGTGTCGATTGCATGGTCCAAATGGCGACTCATTTTTCAACAAAACGACCGACCAACCGTTGGACTGTGGCTTTCTTTTTCAATATGTTGGATATTATGGCATCGGTATCGTTTGTTATTTGTAAGGAAATGGATGGGCTATATAAACATGACGCGAGACGTTCACATTTGAATACATTAACCATATCATTGGTTCTTGCAAACGTTGAAAACCGTATGAACAACCCAAAAGTCATATCTCAATTTACAACTCGAGTTGCCGTTGAATCTTTCTTTGAAAACCCAATAAACATTGCACCAAATTTGCTGACAATGCATCGCAGTCGAGCAGATACACTAACAAACAAGACAGACTATCGTACCCCTGCGGGTTACCCCTGCGGGTTAGGGGCTCAAGAATTTACCCGCGGTAAGGTATGCCTGTCGTAAGAGGCGACTAAAATCCAATAGTTCCCGCGACAGTCGGGTCTTTATACCGGAACGACCCGGATTTTTATCCGGCCAAGGACTGTCACTCCCGCAACATTCCCCAAAAAGTACTTTGGGGAATAATTTTGCGGTTACAACAACAACAACAACAGACTATCGTATTTGTTAAAATGGCGAAGAAAAGCTTCGAAAACCAATTATACATGTTTTGTTTGCGTTCCACAGACCGATGCTACAATAGTTAGTATCAAATTGCATAAGAAAATCCATTCAAATCCGTATACATTTGTCCAAACAGTATTGAAATGACTCATAAATAAAACATAAAAAAGGTAAACAAATAGCTTGTTTTTTTCATTCCAAATATTTTTGTTGTTTTTTTTTTTTACACAGAATTGTAGCTAAACATGTGCCCGAAGATATAAAAAGGTAAGGAACGAATAATATATACGTGAAAAATACATATGAGCCTCTCCATATAGTACTTTTTCCCATATAAACCTATATAAATATATAGGGGTCTGGCCAGACACCAAAAGATGGACACTGGAAAGGAGAAAATCCGCTATATCTTAAAGCTTTTCTTCGATAAGAGCTAAAAGACAAGCCGGCAAGGCGACTGAAAATGTGAATAGTGTTTATGGTCCTGATGCTGTTTCGATTGTCCAAGAGCTAACGATTACACAAAGAACCGTTTGGAAATATTTGAACAAAGCTGAATACGAAAAGAAGCTCGATGTATAGGTGCCACACGAGTTAATGCAAAAAACCTCATAAAAAACCTCATGAACCGAATTTCCATCTGCAAGTCGCTGCTGAATCGCAATGAAATCGACACATGTCTAAAGCGGTTGGTGACTGGCGTTGAAAAGTGGATCGCTTACGACAACGTCAAGCGAAAACGGCGCAGTCGAAACGCGGTAGGCCGGTGGAAATGGTGGCCAAGGCCAGGAAGGTTTTACTGTGTGTTTGGTTTTATTGGCAAGGAATTATCGACTATGAGTTGCTTCCATACGGTAAAACTCTTAACTCCTAACGGTACTATTAACATTTGGATCGTCTGAAGGTAGCAATCGCTCAGAAGTGACCAGTTTTCCCAACAGGAGAGGAATTGTGTTCCATCTGGCGAACGCCAGGCCACATATTTTGATAATGACTCGCCAGAAGCTCCTGGAGCTTGGTTGGGAGGCTCTTATGCATCAACCTTATAGTCCGGACCTGGCACTAAGTGATTACCATCTGTTCCTGTTCATGGCAAACAATTATGATGGTGAAAAATTCGCTTCAAGAGAGGCTTGTGAAAATCGACTGTCTCAATTTTTTTAGGCCGCCTTAAGAATATACATAAATAAATATTGTTGCATGAAATTTATTTTTGGTTGATTGGTTTGTGGTTAAACATTAAAATATTCATCAAGTTCCTTACCTACAGCAGCAAATGAGACTATTTTCAACAAGGCCACAGGAAGAGCTGATGCGATTAGGATAGACGTACTGCAGTGGAGAGAAAAAAGCACAAAGTGCGCTGTCCGGGAGGAAACTGAAGAGGAAAGGGAGCCACATTTGCTGATAGAAAATGCGATAGGTCGAAATGCGTTTGAATGGGAATGGAAAGCCGGCCAATAAAGCTTGGATTATACTCAAGTAGAACCTAAAAACAGTGATCTAGTGTCTAATGCTAAGGGTATACTGAATTTATGGAAGTAGCACATCTCCAGCCTATTGAACGGCAATAAAAATGAGACACCAGGAAATAGCGAGCCGCCTTTAATCAATGGTGATGAAGAACATGCAGGAGTCGACGGTTTACCGACTGATCTATTCAAATATGACGGCGGAAGCTTCCATTAAATTGGGGATCCCACAATATACGCCAATTACCATGTAATAAGTTACGTCAATGTTGTATATAAGGTTTCATGCAGCGTATTATGTGACAGACTAAAGTCCATCGTCAAACAAACTGATTGGCCCTTATCAGTGTGGCTTTAGACGTGGTAAATTCGCCATTTAACAGATATTTATCGTACCTCAAATCTTGAAACAGATCATTCATTTTAAGCTGCCTTCGATAGCAGGAAAATAAGCTGCCTTTGGTATACCCGCGAAACTTGTGTAAACTGACGCTGGACAATACCTGAAGTACAATACCTTCCGAGCCGTTCAGTGCAAAACAAGTTTACAGACAGGGAGACTTTTTTTATGGTGAGAAATTGAAGGAAAGAATAATAAGAGCTGCAGAACTAAATAGACAGTGTACAATTCTTCACAAGAGTGTACAATTGCTGGCGTCTGCCGAGGAAATTTATATCATTAGCATAGTTTTATCCAGGCTGGGCAAGGAAACGGAGCGAATGGCAATCAAAACTTTGGAGTCGGCAATACTTTCGTCTATCTCTACTCGTCCGTAGCATTAACATTAATTATAATGACAGCCTTGAAATCTAAACTATTTCAACCAGGCAAACAGGGATTAATGATTTTCTTTCTTAACGAAAAAAATTAACTTTAACACCTTCTCGTCTAACTCAATCTTGCTTAGAGGAATATGACATCTGATGAGTCGGCGCTGGAAGTTTTCGAGAGGAAGGCCTTGCGTACGATGTACGCACCTTTGCACATTGGCAACGGTAAACACCGTGTCATTTAAACTATGCAAAAAATGAGCGTGATCTGTCAAAGAGCAGCAGCTGTTGAAATCAGTCGACCTCAGTTCTTTCAATCGAGTCTAAACGCGTTCCACGAAGTGGTAACTTGAGTTTTGGAAACAAAAAGTCGTATGGGGCCAAAACCGGTGAATACGGTGAGTGCAAACGCCTCAAAACGCTCAAATAATACTCTTTATTGACCGTCTGTCTCGTTGGAACGAATTCATGATCAACCAAACCGCGAATAACGAAAAACAAAACAACTTCCGAAAACTTTCTGGTCTTAATGTACATCAGCGACCTTAAAGTCAGCGGTTATGGGAAGCAATGGACATGTCGTCTGCAACGGTAACAACTGCATACCTACTGAGTTATTCTATATAACGACTAATAAGCCCCGAATTTGATTGAATCTTCATCTGCGTGAGTATTCTAACCTAACCTAAAATTAAATTCTTAATACTAGAGACAAATGAAATAAAATTTTTTATCCTGCGACTAGGTCGGTAGATATAGTGGTATACACTGACTGCTGACCGACCATTGTCAATATCAATTTTTAAATCTACTCACCAATTCACTGAAAAATGCATCTTCATTAACATTGTCAAACAATTCATTCAGTAATGCTTGCTGCATGTCAACTTGTGGATGTGAATTGTATGTCGGTAAGCCCAGCAGCGTATTTATAGCTGGCAATGCGCAAGCGTCACTCGCCAACCACACAATTGACGCAACAAAAGCGAAAATTATCTGATGACTGTTGATGGCTGCCGATGCAGCTGGTGTGCGTCGCTGTGTCATTTTATTTTCAAGTGATAATTTGCCTTTTTAAATGTGCTTCTCGCTTCTACACTTTTAGTCAATGAAAGGCACTGAAAAAGAAAAAATAAACAATAGAATGAGAAAAGGCAAACAAAAATTTTCATGGTCATAAATAAGTAATTAAGTGATAATATGTAAATAAATAGCGGAAGGATAATCGCAATTTTTAAACAGAAAGAGACAGAGAGAGAGAGAGAGAGAGAGAGAGAGAGAGAGAGAGAGGGAGTTATGACGCAAAGGATGTCCGTGCCGTAAGGTATGCTACGGTTTTCTTTCACAATTAGTGCTCCCTTTATTTAATTCTGCATGTCCAAAGTTAAATAAACACTTCAAAGGCATTACTTACATAATTCAGGTGCGCCTATATACTGAGTGTGTACGTATGTACGTATGTATGTGTATGTATAAGTATACGGGTAGTGGTTTCAATTCAAACAAACATTAGACGTGTAAACTGAAACCAAAAGTTCAACAAGTGTAAAAATTTCAACACTTGACATCTCTCACGTTGTGCGACGGCCCACGCTCAACGATACGTGCTCTGCTCTGTGTGTAATTTTTTTCGAATAGAAATGGCTTTCAAATGGAAAGTTTTGACACCTGCGAAGGTAATATTAATATTCATTGCAATAAACGTTGGTGCTTTTAACTATTTACTTTTGCGAAATCTTTGGAATGCAAAGCACTTTTCTTGGTATACTCTGTTCTTTACGAGCACGTGTCACTTGAAATTTTCTTTTCTTTTCATTAATCTTTTCCTTTCCCTCCCTTTCATTTTGGTTGGCACTCCACCCCCAATCATAAAATCATAAATAAAATATTACTCTTGATTATGTAAATTAACTCAGTGATACCCCCATTATCGTACGCTCTTTACAATTATTATTATATTATTATTGCCGCTAGTGTATGGTTTGTTGACGCCTCATATTTATTTATTTTTAATTTGATAAGCTTATGATAAGTGCTTCTTCGTTGCTATAATTACTTTTATATATTTTTAACACAATGCGTTGGGGGTCTAAATTGTGAATGCCAAGGTTACGTAAACTTACTAATTCAAGGACGTTTTATAATTTAAATAAATTAAATTGTGATAATTTAGATTTCAATTTGATTGTAATGACCATTTATGCTAGATAATAATATTTTTTCACAACAATAAACAATTTCAATTTCTTAAATGATCAGAGGTTATCGAAATAATTAATATAATACGAGTATATTGATAAAAAAATATTCGTAAATATTTTTTTTCCTCAATACTCTTACTCTATCTTGAACATTTTGCTCCTATTTTTAGGTAAATAATTTTTACTAATGCAAATATCTTTGAAAAAACGACGGGTTTAAAGCTCATCTGCCAGATAGATAAATAATATGGAAAGAATTGTCATTTTTTCAATTTTTTCGAATCTTAGGCTTTTAGATTTTCTCAACTTTATGCCAAAAGCTCATGGTTTGGGGCTCTTGTCATAGGAACACCAAGGGAACTGAGGGGTCGATGAGTTGGCCGGATGGGGATAGTCATAACCCCGGTAAACTGTGCGGTCTGTTATCGATTTCTCGGAAATTTCTGCTTCCATTGCTTAGCATAGCTTGCATCATTAATCTCTTGAACTGCGTCAAATACACCAACTGGTTTGAGCATCTAGAAAGGCGTGAGGAATCTTCTTCGTAGAGCCAACATAGGCATCATCAAGAGACCAGGATTCAGTGAACGAAAATGGTATTTAACAGGCTGACTAATACTTGTATCTTTATATTTGCCGGTTAGTTTAAAGCGCAATCGACTTCAAGCTCTAAAAAAATCAACAACTTTTAAAATAATATCCTGTTTGCTTACAAAAATTCCATAAAAAATCTCTAAAATTATGAGCGTAATTTGCATTCAAAAGTTAATATGGTAAATCCAGCCAGCTCCTCAACTAATTGAATTTGATTAAAATTTTGCTGGGCGAATCTCTTCCCTTTCTGATACTTTCCTACAATTTACTAAAGTTGTAATACAAAAATCATGAAAGGCATACACTCGATAAAGTCCAATATCAAGGGTTGGAAAATAAGTGATTTTTGAATATTTGAAAATTTAAAAAAATGTGTAAACTCTCCACATATTTTTAATTTAAAAATCGTAGATTTTTTTAAGAGAGGAGGGTAGCACGAAAAACTGAAACACGTTTAAATTATTGTATTATGCTATACAAAAAAAACAAAGTAGTTTTTTTCAAAACTGTTAACCATCTGACATTAAAAGATTCTTTGACTTTTACTTAATTATTGTGCAAACAATTTTATTTTTGTAAAATAAATTTTAAATTAAATTCTAAATTTGAAAAAATATATACAAAAATGTAAAGCCTTTCAATGTTAAAAAAAATGTGAAGCTATTTTCAGGCAGATTAGCATTTTTTTTATAAAAAAAAAAAACATATGAAATATTTTTGAAGTGGCAATATCTTGAAGGTAAAATGAAAATAAGATATAGTCGTATTGTCAAAAAAAACGTTTTCTGTCAGTTTTATATTGAGTGAAATTACCTTCCTTTTTTGTATCATGGTACTATATTTAAGCTTAAAAAAAACTATTTTTATTATTAAAAACATATTTGGAATTTTCCAATACAAGAGTTTACTGAAGTGGCAGGTGATCGAGGTCGTGCCTAAAACAGTCGAACAGATTTTTTTTTTTAATTTTTATGAGTGTCTCTTCTAATTGAAAAATCATTCACTTCAAGTTGCAAAAAGAAAAACTAGTTTAAATAAAATTAAATTAAATAGAAGATAATTTAATACTGAGGTTAAATCACTTTCGATTGGAAATATATAAATCCTTTTGCTAACACCGGCACCGTTTTCTAAGACTTGAAAAAACGTAACTCTTTTTTTGCAACGTTTAGCTATAAAAATTTAAATTTAAAACTTAAATTGAAAACTGGAGAAAACGCGTTTCATTCGAACCTGCTCGACGCTTGGTCACTAAAACTGTTCTAGCTTCTAAAATATGTCGAATTGGCCATTGAAATTTCGAAGGCATAATCTTGGATAGCTTAAGTATAGATTTTAGGATAAAACCATATTTAAACCTTAACTCTTTTTTTGCAACGTTTAGCTAGAAAAATTCAAATTTGGCTTTGGCTGTTTAGTTTTTGATTTTTCAGAAAAAAAATCAGCTGTTTTTAGCTTAAGTCAAATTTAGAAAAATTCAAACTTTTTTTTCAAGAATCGCCACAAAGTTGAACGAAGCGATAGCTGCATAATTTGTAAATAAAACGAAAATAGTTTTCCAGTACTCAATAGCACTTTGAAGCCTGTTTTCGAAGGAAGCCTCTTCATCATTAAAAATTCAAATTTATGTTTCTAAAAAATTGTTTGTGGTTTCTTATTGGCGGCGGTAAAAAAATCGTAAAACATTAAAGATCGAGAGGATAGATAAAATTATCATTATTGGCGAATATTTTACATATCGAATTAAATACTTAATTACAATTTAAGAATGAATAGATATTTAAAAAAAAGTTGAATAAAAAAGTTCTACAAAATTTTATTAAATAAAAAATATTTATTGAAAAGATACAGTTCTATTTCTTAATTCCTAAGAAACTGAAATATACCTAAGATTGAGAAACAGATCCATTATTTTATTTTACGAATTTTATATAGTGTCACGGGCGAGTTTTTCCCCAAAAACGGATAAAATAAATGAATTTGTGGTTTTTAAGCCCTCTTCAGAAATATTTTAGTGTGCTTTATGCCATAAACCATTTCTGGATGGTTAGTGTAGCACTTATATTTAACGGCTGTGTGGCACGTTCAGTCGAAACTACTCTTTGTATATATTGTAACACTCTATTTAACACTGGGAAACAAATAATCTCCTAGTATGGCACGGCAATCGACATTAATGATAACGACAGCTCTGCCCTTCGATGGAAAACCAGTGCTACCACCGATATATATGTAGTCCAAAACAGTACGACGAGCTTGTTGCCCAATTGATCTGTCTGGAAAACGAGTTATTTCACCCAAAGTTTTGGAGTCAGTTTTGAATATTTCCCCAACTTTTTTCAAGTGTAATTTAACCTTTTCCTAAATCGCAAGCCTTGTACTCAACATTTAAACATCGAGAATGTCATTGAAGAAGTCAAAACTCGAATAAACCATAATTCAAAGAGCAACTAGTAGACGGCCCACCCTTTAGTATTAAAAACAGTTAATAAGCTTTTCCGTTACCTAGCTAACAAACTAATTTAAATCCTCACGATCCCCCACGCCTCCTTTATTTTCTGAAATAAAAGCTACTACAATAATAAAACTCCATCGTCTGTAGGGAGGCGGTTCATACTAAACTCTTAATGCCTATATTTGTTGCAATTATTGTATATCCATATGCATGATATAACGTGCGATCCAAGTAGAGGTACTTTTTTCCCTAGCCTTTTTTTTGACAAATCACGCGTGAGTCGTGTCAAGCTATCATGTTATTATTGTATTGCTTGACATTTGATCATGGAAAGATTTTCGCCTGAACAAAGTTTACAAAACCTTCAACTTTATTTCGAAAATTCACGTTCTCTAAAAAAAAGTGTTTCGGTCGCTCCGCTCAACTTATGTTCAACTTAATCGGCTCACTGAGCATACTATTCGTAACACCATCACCCTTGTTGAGACAAAGCATTCATTATTAGATAATATTCGACCGAATAGACCACGTCAAGCACGGAATGAAGAAAATTAGCCGGCTGTAGCTGAGAGTGTACACAAAGACCCTTGAGATTCGATTCGGCGCCGTTCGCAGCACCCCGAACTTTAGGTCGAGATCATAAATTAAAGCGTACAAAATATAGCTTGTGCGGCTCGAATTTCAAAGTGAAATCGCTTCGCTCTATGTGCGCCTGAATTGGCCCATTTCTGGCTTAATGGATTTGTAAACAAGCGACCTGAAAGATTCAAATGCTGTCATTTCTTCCAGAAAAAAACACCGTTACACCTTACGTTAAAGCCTTCAATTTCATGCAAAAATAATGGATTATTTTTTACATAAACAGATC